GATAGATAGATAGATAGATAGATAGATAGATAGATAGATAGATAGATAGATAGATAGATCGTATAAATCCTGGTAAAAATCCCACACAGAATCTAATAGAAATACAAAGAGAACATGACACATAAATTGACTCAAAAGAAGTTACTGGGAAGCAGTAGTGGAAACTGTAACCTGAAAAGTAATTAGTCTTTCCCAACTTAGTCCCCCCAATGTGTCAGATTACACCTCCCCAAATAACTCATCAAAGAAAATTTGGAAAGGTCAATTGAGGGCATTGATATTACTTTGGAATAAGGGTAAACCAGGGTATTCAAAGTTAAACTTCTTCCAGTAGCACATTTCGGTGTAGCTGTATTTAATGAATCTTCAAAGGGCTAACTATGGTGGCAAAACAATCTTTCAAAAACTTGGGATGTCAATTATTTTCATAGATGGACTTTTGAGGGACAAATAACCAACAATAACTAGCAGAGACAGAAATAAAAGCATACCTAGCATAGGAAAGTAGAATGTGAAAATTTCTGAAAAATCTATATAGAGAAGTGGGATTCTAGTGTATGATCCGATCATTTATTTCAAAGTGAAAATTTGCATACTTAAAACTGTGATTAGTTTCACGCAGCTTCAGGAATTCTGACGTAAACCAGTTTGCAGACTGGGCTGTTCATCATGTTACTGGACTCGATAGTAGCTTGAGTCCAACTTCAGTCATTTATCAAATTTATATGCCACTCATCTCGTGGTATGGTTTTCACCCCGATGTGCAATATTTGTTTAAAGAAGCATGCAATGGATGAATTACCCAAGAATATGCAGATTTTTGCAAATTATTATATTAATTCAGAAGTAATATGCTATTTTAACAATATTGTATGTTCTTTGTCTAAATAAATAGGTTTAATGTTTAAGAATACCAAATATTGTGGCTTTAACATGTTTTCCAATCCTAGCTAGAATTTGTCAGGAGTGGCCCCTCTTTCCCACCACTTTCAATGAAAACAATCACCTCTATTCTTAAGACTGAAACATGTCCTATTCTGCTTCTATTTATGATTATTTGGGAATTACTTTCATGTCTAATTGGCCTGTCCTAAATAAATATGCTTAAGGTAGCCTTATGGCATGACTGCTAAGTATATTTTTTGTAGAAATAAATCCTACATCCATCAATGAATGAATTTTAGTGTGTTTCACAACACATTTTAACAACAACAATTTCACTGATATTAAGCAAAATTACTAGGAGGTAAATTGGTGAAGACCCGTGGCTTTAGTTACTTTGTGGTACTTCCTTTGGCTGCAGCAAATCCTGAAGGAATCTTTTGGAATCCTTTTCCACCTCTTAAAGACAAGGCAGCAACTGTTCCCCACTTTCTCAAGCAATTTTTCATCAGCTATAGCGATTTTGTGCCAGAGTGCCAAAAAGTTCTGCTACTCCTTTTAGAGGACCATGCAAATAGACTGGGGAGGGGGGGAGGATGCAGTTCCAGTTTTTCTTAAACTTCAAACCATTTAGGTCGGATCCCTTCTGCAACACACCATATCACTATATCCCAACATAGAGGGAGTGCACACAACTAATGATTCTTTCTGGGATCAATAATGGAAGCCATGTTTATTCTACAGACTTCTAGACAGAGAGACAAATTAATGCCTCCACTTCATTAACTGTGTTATAGACGTGAACTCAAAGATCAGATAGGATGAGTTGATGCACAATAAAGCTATTGTAGATAATCTTAAATAAGAAGATTCTTGCTCTGATTGATGGAAACAGACCTTCTTTATGATTCAAGCATAAATTATTTTGTTCCTTTTTTTGCCTTTAAAAAAAGTTATACTACAAAAGTCTCCATAATAAATGTCTTTAAAAGTCCCTATAATACAAATTCTAAAAATAATGCAAATACACCTTTTTCTTCACACTGTAACACTCAAATAAACCTTTGTTGTTCACTGTGTTTATGGTCCCATGTGTGTAAATTGCACTGATTACTAAAGTACCAAAGGGAGGAGGGGGGAGAATCACTGTGTTCATTCACTCATTCTGTAGTATAATCATAATAACACAGTTATGCTCTTCAATGAAGACTATTTGTGAACATCCAATATTCCTTTATTAGGAAAATTAGATTAAATTATAAATTGGGCCATTTATAAGGGCTAATTTTTTGTCCTTAGATGAGCTGAGAATTTCATCCTCTTCCTCAACCAGGACAGCAGCCACCAAGGGCATTGATTTGCAAAAAATGCATGGTATTCTCAAACTCAAACAGTGCTTTCTTATAATGTTTACTTAGAAATCAATTTCATTGCCCAGAAGGGGGCTTACTCCTGGATAATGAGTATAACAGGACTGCAGTGTATGCATATCCCAATCAAATTAGAAATCCTTATTAGCTGAGGGAAGGAGTGAATTCTGAGTACCATTTACAGCAAAATTACAACATACTGAAAGCAATTTCTGGTGAAAACATGACAATAATCTTTTGTGACATTGTGAGGGCACCACAAAAATATCCCCAACCACCTTAAGATAAAACAGCAGGTATTTCCAAAATGATATGTTACTATAACATGGTATCTTGAGAATGCTTATACTTTACCCCTCTAAAGCTTCAATAATATTGTTTGATTTTTTTTTCTGTTAATACATTAACACAATGAGTACCAATAAATAAACTAGAGGAAAGCTCTTAAAAGATTGTATTAATATTACATTGTGCAAAACATGTAATGACCTACATTCTATACACATACCCTGACTAAAATATGCAGGCTAAATTCAGAAGCCATTATTCAGTTTCTCTTTTTCCTTGGCAATTCAAGTGGTCACAATCCTGTAATTAGGTGTGCTGTCTTCCCTTGATTCTGTGGGATGAAGGAGATAAGCATGTGCTAGACCACTGCCCCAGTATTCGGCCAAGACTGCACTGTTAACATCTGTGGATCCTTTGTTATTGGTTTGAATAAAACCAACTATAGGCGTTGAATAATGGCTTCCATATTTGGCCTGATTTTGTGATTGGTGTTACACTTACATTAATCCCCTTAAGTGCAGGAGAAGTTATTTAGGATGATGATGATGATGATGATTTGCAAAAAGAAAAGTCACTGTTGTAATCGATTTAGCAGTTGATTTCCAAACCTGCCTTCTTATTGGGAAGATGGATAGCTTATACAGTTTAGACAATGAAGTAACTCTTTCAAGATCCATTATAATGTGATTATCCAGCAGGGGTAGGCTTTTTGTTCCATAAAAGAAGGAGGGCTCAGTATCTATTTATCATTAAGTGCTTTCTTCATTCAAATAAACAATAGTTCAATTCATCAACATGTCTTTTGTTGCTGAGAAGACAATAATGATCCCTGTCTGGTATCTGGGTGTCCCAAACGAAATTCTCATTGCTTCTTCAGACAGAGGCTAACAGAACCCGAGCCAATTTGGAATCTAAAATTTTGGTTTTCTTTTTTTTTCTTTTTTAATAATAATTTGAAAAACCTAGGTCAACCAAGTTTAGTAATCTGAAGGTCTCCATTTATCTTTATTGTATCAATAGCTGATAACTTCTCAATGCGATGGTAAAAATCAAAAAGCTGATGTCCATCCACGAATATTCTAAAACGAGGGTGTTCACACAATATTTCAACCTGTAAGAAATAAAGTATGGATGAGGACCACAATTTTAATTGGAAGGAACATTTTAAGAACTCACAAGTAGTGTTGATATAATAAATGCTATCTATCTTACATCACTTTGACCACCTATGTGGTTTGGACCAGATCACTCAGAGTGATCTCTTTTGCAATCCAAGTAAACAGATAAGTGATCTATGCAGAACTGAAAGGCTATTTGCAGCTGAGGAAAGAAAACCTTCTCACAGAATCTTTGATTGATGTCACTAAAGCCCCCAAGTCAAATTCAGTTTCATATTTGTAGTCAGAGAATAAGTATAGTTTCCCAGGTATTAACTCAAGTAGTAATTAACTAAAGCAGTACTGATGGGTTAAAATTGCATCATTGAGTGCATGGTGTAGATGAGGATGAAAAGGCAGTATGGTACAATAACAATGCAGATCATGCAATATAAGTACAACTGAATAGCTGGGGTATCTTCTTTAGCATGTCAATTATGAATCTCATAGATAATATACTGGCCTTTTTTTCTAATGCAAGTATAAGTGTGCAAAGGTCTAATACTTAAATGCCTCCCATAACTAGATGGGAAAAGCATATCCATAACTTAGATTTTGCAAAAATTTTCCATCAGTAACACTATATATATTTTCAGAGTATTTAAAGGAAATATGTGGTGTGAATATAAATCTTTCTCTGATTTAGTATTTAAAAGACAGGATCTAATAGCTAATTGATGCAAATAAAGGATTGCATCCAACCTTATGCAAGTCATCTTCTACAGGTGTGGTTGGACTTTCCCATGGTCTCCCTAAACGGAGTTAATTTGTGTAGATCTTGTAATTTGTGCTGAAAGGCGCAGAGGGAAAAAGGAGAGCTTTATTTGCCAATTGTATCATTTTGCTACTAGTTGAACACAGTTGAAGATTTGTTAAATTAATATCCTGCATTCTTCCAGGGACTGAAAGCAGTATATCTAACTTAGGATTTTCACCCGGTTTCACCCCACAATATCACCACTACTACACTGAGAGAGAAAATATCCAGCACTTGATCATCCCTCAAGCTTTCATGTCTAATGGTAGTTTTGTTCTCCACAAGCCTAGTGCAAAATCTTAAGTGCTCTGTTGTACTAACTTTCTTTACTCTTTAACACACTAATCATAAAGGCTTTTACTTGTACAACCCAATGAAGCAATAACTACAATTTTTAAGTTTCATGCCAGTTATTTCAAATTCAAACCTATGTATATGAGAACTTAGTAACTATAGAAGCAATTATTAATGTCCTTTGTGAGATCTTATGGTGAGTATACATGATTTTTTTTTAAAAAATGGACCCAAATCTTGAATGATAACGTGGAGATTTTATTCCTTCCAAAAATACTGGCTGCTACCAGGACAGAAATAAAACTTTTTTATTTTGCATCTATTTAATAAAAATTAAGCATATTGATATGACTACACTATAGTTACTATATGTGGTTAATAATCTTGCTTTATTGTAACATTAACTATTACAATTTGTAATATGTTCTATTTCTTGGGACTCTGCACAACCCTAAAGGTTTAGGACATTCACTTCTGGTATCAGTGAATAAAAAGAAAGAGAGCACTCAGTGATGATGGGCATAATCAATCAAAACCAAGCACTTTTAAACCATGATCATTTTGAATGGAAGACAATAGCAAAATTTCATTTAGAGTCTTTAAAACTTTTGTTTAAGCTCTCCAAATACCCATAAATAATGTTCTGATCTCATCTTCATTATTCATATACAGTTACCTGAAAGCAAATATTTGCCATACAAAAGAAAAAAAAATCCTGAATTGCATCAAACTCGTAAATTTCTTCTCAACCCCTACAAAATTTAGACGCTGGAACAGTATTCAAGATGATTCCCCAAATTTTCTTACTGACAAATGAGTTTTCCTTGTCTGGTGACAATGAATATCTCTAGGATTCCAAATGAAGTACAATTGAGCAGACCACCAATGATTTAGCATGCTGGAGTAGTTTACCAATGATCACACTGTTGGGGATTACAGCAACTATCATACAATAGATCTGGAAGATGCCTATATCAGTAATGGCAAACCTTTTCGGCACCGAATGCAGAAAAGATTGCGCGGAAACATTGCACGTTCCGCAGTCATCGGGGCTGCGCTCCACAAAAGCTGAACTTCTGGGTTCTAGTGCGCATGCAAGCTCAACGATCAGCTGGTTGGCGCACATGTGCAGACCAGTTTTTGGTACTGCTACACGTGCAAAGAGATCACGCTCTGGAAAAGCTAAACTTCCAGGTTCTAGCGTGCATGCCCACCAAATGATCAGCTGCCCAGCGCGCATGCACACACTGGTTTTCAGCACTGCCTCATGTGCGAAGGACAGCTGATCATCGCAGGTGCACGCATGCCAGAAACCCAGAAAACAAACAAGCAAGGCCGTGTGCTATAGGTTCGCCATCAAAGCCCTATATTATACCCTATAATTGGGGAAGCCCATTGAAAAGTATAATCACTTGCTGAAAACATCATCACTGATCATTGGCGGGAGCGTTATGATTCACAGAATACTATGCCAAACACATACAAGGAATTATATTCATTTCTACAACTATAAGACAACAAGATCCAGTTCTCAAACCCAAATGATATTTTGCTGAAATTAGTGGTTCTTGTGGTGAGGCCTGGGCTCCCTAAAATCCTTTCGGGGGGTTCACAAAGTTAAATAGTATTTTTAAATTACTCAGTTTTCTAATATAGTAAACATCAAGATATCATACGTGTAAACCAAAGTTCTCTGTGATTCTCAATCATTTTCAAGAATTAAAGAAGTCCTGAGACTAAAATGTTTGAGAACCACTGGCTTAGATTATTAAAAAATGTGCTCTCTACAGGGCTACCTTTGAAGGTTGTTTAACAGCGTATTATAACAAGATTATTCAATGGCCCATGTAATAGGGTTACTGGGCACTTTTCAAATAGCTACAATGTTTACTCCCAACAAATAAAATTGAATACACTAGATTTAAGCTACAAATCTTTATGACCAGGGTACCAAAGGAACTGCCTTCTTAGATGGTGATTTAATCCAGGGATGGCAGTGACGTGCAGTTAGGGGAGGCACAGCCTCACCACTGTCAATCATGAAAAAGAAAAAAAAATGTAAACGGGAAAAGGCGAGTGCTGAGGTTAGGCTAGCTAGCTGCCGCCACACCGTGAATGACTGCCGGTTTAAAAAAGCCTCTAAAAAGCGCCCTCTATTATGAGGCAGGAGAACTGCATGCCTCATCTAGTCTGACTTTCCTCTCCCGCGACACCCCACTTTCACCCGCCTGAGCTCGCGGCAGGGCTCAGGCGGGCTGCCGTGAGCTCAGGCGGGTGAAAGAAAGTGCTTTAGGTTTAGGCGGGCGAACGAAAGTGCTTCACTGACTAAAGCACTTTCTTTTGCCCGCCTGAGTCTAAAGCACTTTCTTTTGCCTGCCTGAGCTCTGCTGCGGGCGAAAGAAAGTGCTTTAGTCAGTGGGGTATCATTCTCTCCTCTCCCACAACACCCCACAGACTAAAGCACTTTCTTTTGCCTGCCTGCATTCTCTCCTCTTCCCCGACACCCCACTGACTAAAGCACTTTCTTTCGCCCGCCTGAGCTCTGCCGCGGGTGAAAGAAAGTGCTTTAGTCAGTGGGGTGTCAGGGGAGAGGAGAGAATGCCTGAGCATCTGATTATGATGACATCAGTGCCTCACCAGCCATAAACCTCACCGCACGTCACTGATGGATGGCCACTGGGATCAGCATCAAAGGCTCTGTGGCAGGGTCTTCTGACAACTGATAAAATGATTGATAAAATGAATAAATGGACATATTTTTTAAAATAACAACACACTAATTCCACTTTAGGGACCTTTTCCCAACAGTCTTGCTTGTCCACTTAACTAATTCTTTGCCTTTTAAATGTTGGATTTGGTAGTTATTGGCAATGTTTCAGATTTACGCTTGCTGACTGTGATTGGATTTCTTGATTCTATTTGTTTGGGCTCCTTGCCATTCCAGCTCCTTTGACAGACTGACTGACCAATCCCAAATGATGCCCTCCTTTGCTCTTGACTCCTTAAACAATATATTGTGTTCATGTCCTAAAACCAGTGTTGCAAAGCAAATGCAATGTGGCTCTTAGGATAACAGTGACATTATTGGAGAAGTCCATACAGCCATTGGAAACTAATGCAGGACTTGTTTGGTTCTGATAGCTATTCTGAGCTAATTTCATATCTGTGCATACCACTTACCCTGTATTTTAAGCTAGTTTTTCTTCCTCTCATTTTAAAAAAAGTATAAAACAGCAATAAACAATATTGAAAACTATCATTAAAATGTTGGTTTCTCTGAAGTTTCCACTGAGTACTTATTAAGAACAAAGCAATGCATTTTATATATAAATAGATCTAAATGACCTCCACCAACAGACAAGGAATCACATAATCCCAAAATGTACTATTCACAAAGGAATTAAAGCCCAGTTTGCAAAGTATAAACTTTTAATAGCATGGGTTTCTGTTTTTCAGTGCTGTTCCTTATATGGCACTGTTTCTTGTCATTATCCTACAGAGCAGAGTCCCCCAGGGGAGGACTGTAAAATAAATATATGAGATACATAAGAAAACTTTAAAAAGTTTTTTTTAAAAAACACCATTATTTTTTCTCTTCTCATTCCAGCCCAGTAAGTCATCTAGGAATGAATGTCCTTCCAGTCAGCGGAGGGGAAAGATCAGTATGTGATCACCATTGAGATACTGTTGATACTGTTGAGATGCTGTTGAATAACTATGTGAAGTTTTTAAAGAGGTGAGCACAGAGTGAGGCATCATCAATACGCAGATGATATCCAGTTAAATATTCCATCACAGCAAGCCCAGTACTTAAGAGGCTGTCAGCATCTGGATGAGAAAAACAGACTAACATTGAACCTCAGTAAGACAAAGTGACTATGGATCAAAAATCTGATTGAGATTGGATGTAGTCTATCTTTGGCCCTGTGTGAGATTGTGTTTACACCCTGGAGTTCCTTTTATACTAGCAGTCCATGTTTGAACAGCAGATAGATAACATGACAAAGTTGTGCTTTGTCATGTGAGTCCCCTTTTGCGACCTTCTGACAAGTAAAGTCAATGGGGAAGCCAGACTCACTTTACAACTATGTTCTTATTTTAACAACTGCAGTAATTCACTTAACAATTATGGCAAGAAAGGTTGTAAAATGGGGGAAAACTCACTTAACTGTCTCATTTAGAAACAGAAATTTTGGGCTCAGCGGTGGTTGTAAGCCAAGGCCTACCTAAGAGCCTCGGTGGCGCAGTGGTTAGAGTGCAGTACTGCAGTCTACTTCTGCTGATTGCTGGCTGCCAGCTGCCTGCAATTTGTCAGTTCAAATCCCACCGGGCTCAAGGTTGACTCAGCCTTCCATCCTTTCGAGGTGGGTAAAATAAGGACCCAGATTGTTGGGGGCAATATGCTCACTCTGTAAAACTGCTTAGAGCGGGATATAAAGCACTGTAAAGTGGTATATAAGTCTAAGTGCTATTGCTATTGCTACCTGTATAGGAATTTTACTGGATGCCTCTTAGCTTTTAAATGCAATTCAACATGCTGGTGATCACTTTAAAACCCTACACAACTCATGGTTGAATCTGCCTGTTTACTAAGGTCTAGCGGTCCAGCCCTTGTGACTTGTTTATAGTTTAACCACAGAGGAAACATATAGTCAAATCTTCTCAGTGATAGCCTTGTATGGCATATGGTTCTTAGTGGCCGGCTATGGCTGCTGTTGTATTGGTGAGAGTCAGCAAATGAAGAAAGAAAAAGGGAGAAGTTCAATTCTTAAGGGGTAGCTGTGATGTCACAAGGGCTGTTGAGCTGACCTGGGGGGAGATGCAGAAAGTGCAGTTCCATTGGCCCAGCCTGGTATATACTGTTGGAGACTAGAGTCCTAGAGGGACATCCACCTCCTCAGTTGCTGGGGGACATTCCATTTTGTTCTGACCCAAAATTGGAGAAAGAGAGGAGAGAGGAGAGAAAAAGAAGATGCAAAATGGGAGTTGCTGGAGAGAAAAGGTGAAGTGTGAAGTTATATAAGCACACAGAACTCTTCTCCATCTATGGCCATTAAGAGAGAAGAGAAATCCATGGTGGAGGAAGGGAAGGGAAGTCCCAGGGAGATGACATCTTCAACCAAGAAGCAGAGAACCAGCTACTGTTGGAAAAGCTCTGATCTCTGGGGAAGGCCTGGGCAGAAAACCCTGAAGGTGGTTCTTCCCCCAAGAAGGGAGAAGGTGACCAGCCAGATGGATCCAGAAGGATTTGAGCCCATTCTTTTCTTTTCACTTTCTGTAATAAGCCCAGAAATGGGAGGGAGATAGAATGAAGAGGGAGGAAGTGAAGCAGTTAGCCGGAGAATTAGAGAATAATCTCTGGGAGAGAGATTAGGATTTGACAACGAGCAAAAGCCAGGATTGTGTTGTACGTACATGTTATAAATATGTTTACTATTAAAATGGCTTCACTATATATAGTAAAAGAAAGCATAGATCTTGCCACTGTCTTTTTCTCTGTCAATTGCCATCCTTCCAAGCCTAAATATGCCTCGAGTTTAAAAGAATCCCGTCCCACTATGACACCTTCCTTTGGAAAACTCTTCCTTTGGAAAACTCTATCTCCTGATTTCTAAACCACACTGTCCTTATTTTGGAATAGCTGTGAAAATATGAGGGCTTTGGGGGACAAATAAGACCTTTAAATCACCAGTGTGAAACTTGCAGTGTCACATTTGTCTTGCAGTGTCACACAAATGTCATGTAACATTTTGTGATGTTTTTCCCATTTGCCGAACTGAGTGGGTGCGGCCTTTGTGTGACGCATCTGGCCCACGGGCCGCCAGTTTAACACCCCTGTTTTAAATGATGGCTCATCAGATTGTTTGCAAATTGTTATGGACTGAATTTATTATAAGTTTTTAGCCCTCCCCAACAATATCTTTATAAGTCACTCAGGATCTTCAGAAATAAACTAAGGTAAGTAAATAAATTAAGTGAATAAGTAAAGTAAGTAAGTAATCAAATTGCATGTTTCATTAAATGAAGTTTTAATTTATGATCCCTATAAGGGGGCAGTTTATTTTATGAAAATCAAATGCAAACATTTTCAGAGACAAAAAAAAAACAGAGGAACCACTGCAGATGGTCTTGATTATTTCCCAACATTCTCCTGTACCACCTGAATGTAATATTTTGAAGTGTCATCTGAGGAATCCAATGCCCTTCTTCCTGGTCTTGCATGGGTATCTTCAATGAATGTATATGGAGTCAAAAGAGGAGAGGAATCTAGTAATTCATGACCTCACACAACCATGAATATGGGACTTTTTTCCTGCTATTTATTAAAGGTATTTATTATTTCCATTTTTCAGGCTTCTGTATGAGCCTGAAAAAAAAGTAGCTGATTTAATGAGTCAAATTATTTTCACAATGCATCTTTAATGCTGCTCTTATATCAATAGCATTTTTTTCCTAAGAATCATGGAAGGCTGAATGAATAATGGAGAATGTTTTTTAAAGTACAGGCAGCTCTAAAAATCTATCTTTCCATTTGAATTTAATGCTATGACAGCATAGTTTGTTTTGTTGATTATCTCTACGTCAAGAGTCTAAGAGTGCTTTTCATTTGAATGTGCATCCAATTATATAGGTAGTCTTCAACTTACAACAATTCAGCTAGTGACCATTCAAAGTTACAACAGCACGGAAAAAAGGGACTTATAACCATTTTTCACACTTACAATCTTTGTAACAGCCCCAGGATCATGGGATCCAAATTCAGATGCTTTTACAACTGGTTCATACTTATGACTGTTGCTGTGTCCCAAAGTCATGCGATCCCCTTTTGCAACCTTTTGATACGCAAAATCAATGTGGAAACCAGATTCACTCAACAATGTGGTACTAACTTATCAACTGCAGTTATTCACTTAACAACTGTAGGTTAAGAAATGTCATAAAATGGGGCAAAACTCACTTAACAAATGTCTCACTTAGGAACAGAGATTTTGGGCTCCATTGTAGTCTTAAGTTGAGGACTACCTGTATTACATCCCTTTTCTGTTATTATAATGAGATGATGTAAAAGAACAGAATAAGACCCAAATACATTAAGCGTACTTTAAAAGAACACCATTGCTATAACTGTTATAGATATAAGAAGCTAAACTCACTCCAGGAGAATGAGTAGCAATATATGAAAAGCACTTTAACCTAGAATAGGGAGACCTACCCAATAAAACAAAAAGCCATGGAGACAATACCATTGAGTATAGAAATCTTATGGCAACCACTTCAAATAATGTCATGACATAGAGTGTTTTTAATTTATGTTTATAATAACCATGCCAAGAAAGTTTCCTGTGCTTCTAAATATTGCCATCTTTTATTTTTTGTCATGTTCCTCTATCTGGATTGAATAAATTGCCATCAGAATGAATGTATTCTTGGTCTTTGCCTAATATTACATTCCTACAGATAAAGTCTATATACAGTGTTATTTAGAGGACAAAAATTAGCACTGAAGCACACCCAGAACAAAACCATCAAAGTTACATCAGTGTCAACAGTGTCAGTGGTTAGTCAATAAACTCTCAGTACTCACCCTGAAAGGCTGGTCAGGGATAAATGGGAAATATGGAAGAGACGACTGTTCTTCACCCCAATCTCCAGATATGCAGGAATTCCTGAGGAACTGTTTATCTGAAAATATGGCTTTCAGTTCGATTGCTGTATCCGCAGGAGGGTCTTCTGAATCTCCACATGTAAGACTGATGTCAAAACTGTGAAAAGCAAGAATATCTCCTCACTCACCCAAAAGAAGCAATGAAATCCAAGATGCAGCTTCTGGCTAAACAAATGTCTTTCTAGCTAGCATTGCCAAAAGTAATTATAGTTGGTGTTGTTTAGGTTTCAAGTACACCACTTGTATCTTCTGTACTGCCATTTCTCAACATACTTAGTTCCTTCACCCCTACCAAGGAGATACTCTGTACCCAGAGACCATGTGTGAAGCATCCCTCCTTGTGCCCATTTATAAGAAGTCTTCCCTTAAAAATAAATATTACATCTATATCTGCCTCCTCCCTATAGGTCAAATGAGAAACCAACATTCTATATTTACAACTACAGATAAAAATAACTGTCCTCGGGAATGAGGGATGTTGGGCAGATACATTCTTCTTGTGGGAACACAGTTTTTTCTCTTGTGGTTCTTGGAGAGAGAAGGAATGCATGGACAGGGATGGAAAAACCCTGCCAGGAGAAGAAAGCAGGCTGGGCCTGTGTCTTATTACCTCTCTGGGTTGAGATCCACGATGCCCATTACCACGACTTTCTTGCCTGGCCTCATTCCTCCTTTGATGTGTCCACAGAAAGGGACAATCTGGAAAAGGATTGCAGGGAGTCAAAATGAGTAGCCTCTGATTACAGAGTGGAAGGAGAAGGGGGCCAGATCAGGCCCAATATAATAAAGAGAGGGAGAGAGGGAAAGCAAATCCTTTACCAGTCGTGGAAAATACACTTCGGCTTGAACTGGGGATCCCAAGGAGTTGTTTAAAAGTCTGTCCTCTATTTTCTAAAAGCAAAAACAAAACAACACATTCAGACCCAGAAGGCACCCTTTGTGTTCAGCCCAGGGAGGATGGAAAGAGGAAGAAAGGGGTGGGGGTGGGGGGGGAGGCTGAGCAACAGAGCGCCAATTTCATTTTAAGTCTTGAAGAGAGAATCCATCTTTTTCCTCCAGCCCTTTCGCAAAACAAAGGGTGTTGCCTCCCAATTCCCCAGCAAAGTCCTCCAGGTACAATTCATGTCTGACTGCTCAGATCCATGCACCCCTCCCCCGCTCCCCATCTGGGCATCTCACACACCTGATCAGCCAGGTACAAAAAAACGCAAAATAGGTTTATCTCCACCACCACCCCTCAACACACAAACACACACCGGCAGGGAGAAGGAATAAGAAATCCAGCCCTCCCCAGCCTTTCAGTCCCCGAGGCGTTTTTCTTGACGCCGCTGCAAACAGGTCCCCCTCCTTCTCTCCAGATCCCAATCCGCAGCTTCCCCCCTCCCAGCTCGAATCCGTCGCTAGGCGGGATCACGGCGAGAGGCCACAAGAACCAAGCGCCACCGACCCACCTGAAACGCCCGGCCCTCACCTTGCCGCCCGGGAGCCGAGAAGAAATTAGGAAAGGACCACTTACCGCCGCGTCCCTCTCTGCTACCGACCCCGCCATCTTGTTCACACGGTGCAGCGAGCTAAGCCTCGATCGGCTGGAGGAGAAAGAGGGGGAGCTGCAGAAGGGCAGAACCCGGCTTAGACGTGCCTGCCGAGCGCTGGCCAAGCCGCATCCGGAGCTGAACTGGCAGGGAAGCGGAGAGAGGGAGGGAACCAGAGGGGGAGGGACGGGGGCGGGAGCTAATCTCGGCTGTCCCGAGCCCGGGATCCGGGAGGCATTCTCCGTAAGTCTCCCCCCTAGCCGGCCACGCCGCGCGGAGTTGGGGATGCAGCAGCAGCAAGCAGCGGCGCAGTGGAAGATGGAAGGCGCAGAGCCGGCCGGCTGCTCGATCACCCTGGCACTTTAGAGAGCCCTGGCCCGGATTTCAGGGCATAAGGCTGAAAGGAGCCGGGCGGAGTCGGCAGTAGCTCAGGCTGTTGCAGCTTCTTCCGTTCGTACTTTGCCTCCGAGCTGTTTTGCTGCGGGAAAGCAGGAAGACAAGGGAAAGCAGTCGGCTCTGGAAGGGGCCACAATGCAGGCCGCCCGGTCTCGGGAGGTGGCAGCGGTGGCGGCGGTTCTAAATAGATCCGGTTAAAAAGGGGAGCCGGCTTGGATGGGCGGTGGAGCGGGCGGGGTGCAGTTTGGGCTCCGCCGTTGGTAGAACGGGATGGGCCTGCCTGCAAGACGCACTGGGATGATCGCTGTGAAATGCTAGTTAATCTACTCCCCCCCCCCCCCCTTACAGCTTCTACATACACTACAATAAAGAATACTAATTAGAACTAGTAGGTAATAAATCATTGCTTTTATTTTTTTTTCTTTACTGTTTTTTGTATATGTTTTATTTGCAGTTTTAACAACCAACATATTTTGTGGACGGTGTATGACTGGGTCAATACATTTTTGCACAGTGCTGACAATAACAATACAATTACATACACATAGATTTTGTCTTCCAACTTCTGACCTTAATATGCTCATTATAATTATATTTTTATATATCAATATATATAATACTAATTTCTCAATTTGTACTTATCCCCCCACCCCGCTGGAATTTTATTTTTCTTTGTTGATAATGCAGTCATTAGCCATTTAATTATTTCAGCTCATTAAAAAAAGAGTACGGTGCCCCTTGATAGCATTATCCACAGTAGCTTCATATGGGAAATTCTTTTTCTTTTTTCTAAAATCATCTCCTTTTCTCTTCAAATATTAAAAACCTTTACAACTCCTTTTGGTTAACTTTCATTCAAAAAGATAGACTGGAATAAAGTTTCTGCCGCCTTTGGCAAACATTTGGAAACTACCGTAATGATACTGCCACCCGGTGCTGACTGGGGCCTGTACTCAAAGCAGGTTATTCTTGCATTAGTGTGTGCCTTGATTGTGCAATTTAAAGGGCTCCATCATTTTGTATAGCTTAGCAACAGGATATTTAAAGGGCCTTCAACCTCACTGTCTAGTGAGACCTTTGGGAAAAACTAAGTGGGGAGGCAACTCGATGGCCACAGGTACCTGCCAACTTCTCTGCCCACCTGAATTTTAAAAAAAAACCACAAAATGAGACACTGGAATGTTCCAGTGTGCCAGGCTGTTGTATTGACTTTATTTACTGAGACCCACACAGACTAAATAGGCAAAATTAAAGGTAGTAGTGGTTGTAGCCCAGTGCTTTGGAAGTGTGCCTGTTTGTCTAGCAGAAAGTCACAAATAAATTGGGGTAGATAGACAACCTTCTGAAACGCTAGAAGTGATGATAGATCAATTGATATAGCAAGATATAGATGATTAAAAATGTTTTAAATCATTAATGAACCTCATAACATTGGCTCATAAAAAAGGGATAGTTGGCCATGCTTATTGTGCTAAATATTTTGGGGAGAACATTTGGGATTTGTTTCCAATGTTTCAGGTGTGGCCATTGCCCTCAAAAGATTGCTAATCCCTCCACAACTCCATATCTAAGAAGGTTGCCTATGCCAAAGGGCCTGTTCTGTGTCTTATTGAGAACTTTAAAATATTTTAATCTGAGATGTTTATACAGCTATTTATTAATTTCTAAGAAATCTACATTATAAGGATCAACAAAAAAGTCCCACTTAGGTATCTTCATTACTGTAGTTTTGGAGGTCTTTTGAGTTGAAAATGGGTGTGGAGATTTTTATAAATAAAAAACTGAGAACATATTAAGCACAATATGTTAGCTAAACTTAAATTAACATTGTTCCAGTACAATTTGCAACAACTGTACAATTACTATGAATATACATTAAGAAAGAAAAAGAAAACATCTATTCTAAGATCAATGGATAAAGATTTGAATCAATAAACGTTGATTTAAACTTTAAGTAAATAGTGCAACTTCATTTTGCATCTCTTGAAAATTTTGTTAATCTTCGTTCAAATTAATCTTAAATGGTTACACAAGCTACATATTTTAAAATATAGCCACCTGTCCACACAACTTAGGAAAGTTTAGCTAACATATTGTGCTTAATATGTTCTCAGTTTTTTATTTATAAAGATAGCCCATATGAAGAGTTACCAGTATATAGTCCTCTAAGAAATATTCCTGTTAATGTTGGGAAGAGCATCCAATGAAGTGGAGTATGAAATTTATTCATCCATCCATCAAATGTATATGCTGCTCATCTCACTGTCAGAGTCACTGAGCAGCTTACAACAGAATAAAAGCAAATAAGTGCAGAGAAGAAATGCAAAGTGCAGAGAAGAGCAACAAAATAATTAGGGGACTGGAGACTAAAATATATGATGAACAGTTGCAGGAACTGAGTATANGGGGTATGGCAGAGGAGCTGCTTTCAAGCCTTTGGAAAATATATCCAATCCAACTTCTGTGTTTGTGTTACTTAGGAACAGAAATTTTGGGGTCAATTGTGGTTGTAAATCAAGGGCTGCCTGTATCCATTCTGGTGGGAAATCCTGCTATCTGTATTTATCTACAGGTATATAAAGTAATGGTTCACGCTACACAGAAGGATTGAACAACGCAATGCTTCTTGTATGTAATCTGTTTCAAAAACAAAACTTTCTGATCAGCAGAACAAGTTTTCTCCTTATTTGTCAGGCCTGCTCCTTGTATCAAATGCTGACTGGATGGTAAAAGGAGAAGCAGATTATGGTTGGTTTGGCTCATCACTCAGCAGTGTCCAGCTCCTAAATAAAACCTTGCTGCTTATTGGAAGTCCTTTTGGGAGAAATTGTACAAGGTATATGCATTTATTTTTAAATACTTATGTGTGTGATTGTATTCTAGGCTTTCTTCACAACCTATCTTCTGTGCTTCCTCACCACAAATGCATGCAGTAGATCAGTGGTGGGATACGACCGGTATGCCCCGGTACGGGCGTATCGGTGCCTGCTGGGAGCACCAGGTACCATTCCGGTATGGTGCTCCGGAGGACCCACCCGCTCTCTTTACCTTATTTGAGCTGATCGGAGCTTTCACGCATGCGCACGGAGCGTATGGCACCTGCGTGACACTCCGCCCAGCAGCTGGAGCGTTGCGGGCAGTAAGTACGCATGCACGCGCTGTGCGTGTGCTGCCGCGTGCACATGGTGGATGCCGGGCCCCATTGCAGCGTACTGGTTGCAACGGGATCCGGAACCCACCACTGCAGCAAATCAACAGTTTTCTCTAAAAGTTGATCTGTTACACATAAAAACTCTGACTATTCTAATAATAGTCATTTTCCAAGTACCACCTTGTTTTCTGCAGCTGAATCAGACATATAATTCAAGGCCTCAGGGTCAACTTATATGCCTTAGCTACAGTTCCTAGAAATTTCAAATAATGACTTCAAATTATAGTAATGTGTCAGAAGGGGGGTCAGAACAGGTTTCCATGTTTTTTTTTTACTATAACCATTTTGTATTCTAGCTTAGGGTGCTATTTCTCTGAACGCAACAAGCAAGCTGTTGGAACAGTATATGGCTATACCCCACCAAACACAAAAAGCTGGTTCACTTTAAGTGGGGACGATGTAAGTCTTTGTGGTGACTCGGGGGTGGGCTTCAAAAATTTCAGCAATGGGTTCTCTACCTGATTGCTAGGTGGGTGTCAATGGTGGGTTCCTATTGGTTCGGACCGGTATGGCTGAACTGGTAGTGGTTTGGCGGCCTAGGTTGCTGGAACAAGCAGCGACCCTGGCTTGCCATACCCCAAAATCGTTTCTCTGGGTGGTGCCATAGGAGCCACCATTGTTTTTTTCCCAGTTCTGTGCATGCGTAGAACAATTTTCATTGCACAAATTTAATTTCTTTTCATTTTTAACATTTTGTGTATGCACAGACCTATTTATGTGCAAATGCGCAAATGCACGGAACACGCACACACAAAATTGTGCATGCACCAAGCCAGCAGTAATGCAGGCAGCAACCCATCCCTGGTGGGTGTGGCCTTATTGGCCTCCTGCACCATGCTGGGGGAGCTGTTTTCACCTTCCCCAGGCTCTGGAGGCTTTCCTCGAGCCTCTGGGCGGGTGAAAACTAACAGGCCCGTTTCCAGCCTTCCATAATTTCTGGGAGGCCCATTTTCCCCCTTCCCCGAGCTTTCGCATGGGCCCTACACTTACCCCGCATCCAAAACGGGCCGCAAGGAGACTCCTGAGAGGAGCGGGGTGGAGTGGGCGAGGCCAGCCAAGGGTGGGATTTGGAGGTTCTCTGAACCAGCCATTACATTAACTATGGGTTCTCCTGAACCCGGGCAAGCCGACCCCTGTGGTGACTTTTGAAATAATTGAAAAAACAAGAACAAGAGAATATTTGATTTCATGAGACTAACTATATATATTTATAAACATTCATATTATAAACATGCAGGAAAATGGAAAATTTGGTTCAGCTTTGGCAACCGGTTTCCTTTCCATAGAAGGAATCTCCAAGCAAGTACTGATAGTTGGTGCACCAACACAAGGTATGCAATTCTGAACTTGGAACATGACTTGGCAGCATTTTTATTTCAGTAATGAAATAAAAAAATAAGACAGATGATAAAGAAATTCCAGGAAGCAAAGAATCACGATACTGAGTCTTAATTTAGTTATATACAGAGAAAGTTAATTAAAATCCATTCAACTTTTAATATACATGCATTGTTTATATACAATGATTCAGTCCTGTTGTGATGTATGTTGTTTTTATGTTGGGAAATTGAAGCTGTGATTATTTTGTCGTTGTTGGTTTCCAGACATGCTGGTTCATTTGAGTCCTTAGCCTTCTACAACTTTACATAATATTGCACAAATAATTGATTTAGATTTCTTATGGGACCCATTTTGGATTGTTTAAGTCTTTTATATCAGGAAGTAGATCTCGATTTTCAGACATGTGATTTCAGAAATTATTTCTAAAAAAGTTGGATTGTCCATTTCTGGGGGAATGTGAAGATGCCTTCTAGCCGAATCACCTTCTCGTGACAGCATCCGTGCAAATCTGTTGAAAGTATTATTAAGTAGTTCTTCTGGGATGTTTCTCAGTTCCTCAGTCTAGCCATTTTAAGTTTTGCTGTAAATAAAAACGTTGGCTACAAGGGCATTACTATTTGAAAAGGAAAATACCTTAATTTTAATCTGTAAAGGATTCCAAATCAAAGATGAGGACATTCTGAAATACTTTCCAATGCTTATTGCAGAAGATGAATGCAGTAATATATTCAATATAGGGGTTTCCCACTGTGTTAGTCTTATACTCCCCTATTGCTGATTTCATTTTTCCCTTCTCAACTAGTGCTTTTACATTTTGCCGCGTCTTCCCTGTTTTCCTGTAGGTAAAGGTCTAGAGACTGAGCCATGCTTAATAACAATAGAGCAATGGTCCAACTAACTCATAACTTGCATCTCTTTTCTCCAATATTCTGTTCATTTCAGCTTTTTGAGTTTGTGATTTGGAGTTATGCAATCATTTAGTACAAACTCTTAGCTGAAATAGTATCTCCTGGCTGAAATTAAAATATAGTATCCATTAAGACTGGGAGCTCTGCTCATGATTATTCCAAAAGCAGGTCTTTGTTGATAAACTACTTGATCATTATTTCACATAGATTCAATAGAGCCAATGTTTCCTGCATTTAAATGTGGATTCTTGACAATGCTTTCTTGATACTTATTTTTATAACAACCATAATTCTGTCACCGTAATTGGTTTCCTTTAGGAAGCGTCTCCAGGATTTCATTTATATCCTCACCGCTGCACCAAGCAGGAAGTGCTTTGATATATGACTTGATGGGAAATGGCAAGCCTTCCTTACTCAGCACATTCAATGGGGATAGGAGATTTTCACGCTTTGGAGAAGAGGTGTACTTACGGGATCTGAACAATGATGGACTTGGTATAGTTACAATTTTTTATTGTGAAACATCAAAAAGATTGCACAGTAAATTCTACTGAAAGTGAATCCAGCATTCCACACACACACACCCTTTTTCTCCCAGGAAAGTAAACTTTTCCAGCAGCAATTTGAGACCTGCCTTCCTGTCTCACTCCAGGAGAAATAATGTAGGGATGTCCAAGACAGGTAAAAAAAAGTAAAAGCTATGGCCACCATTTATATACAGTAAATTCAAGACAAATTCAAGTGAGTTGCCCAATGCAGTCTTGTGAGGTTATTTGAACTGAATTCAACTTTGTAACACTCAAAGAAGTGAATAAATAAAACCGTCCAATCTACCAGCCTGCCCACCAGTTGGCTAAATTCTAACTTCTTCTGGGCTATCAAAGTCATCTATGTGGTGTATTGCCCTCTTTGAGGGAATGAATGGTAACTCTGGTAGTGAAAAAGGTAGGTTGTATGCCTCAAGAAACCACTTGACTTCTTGGCTGCTTCCAATCTTGTGAGCTGCAATAATAGCTAATTGGATTCTTTCACGCCACAGAGGCCTGAGTTATCTAAGAAGAAGCTTATTTCCAGTTGCTTCTTCCTGCCCAATATGTTCAGACAGAGTGGGTTGCTCTAGGACAGTGGTTGGCAAACTCATTAGTCAACAGAGCCAAATATCAACAGTATAACGATTGAAATTTCTTTTGAGAGCCAAATTTTTTAAACTTAAACTATATAGGTAGGTACATTGTTATTAAATTAATTAGGGTATTCCTAAACTGGCTTTTGCTTAAAACCTCCTCAATCTGATTGAGGTATGTTTGCTGAGGTCGACCTCTTCCAAGTCTTCCATCCACAATTGTCTTGTATACTTGTTTCATCTGTCTCCTTTCATTCATCCTCTCTATATGTCCAAACCATCTCAGCATACCTTTCTCAATCCTCGACACTACATCTTCTTTCACTCCACAACGTTCTCTAAAATTAACTTAATAAACTTTACTTAAAGTTTTAAGTCTTAGTTAAAATATAGGTGCATTGAATAAAACTTGATATCATACTTAATAATGATATTATTTATTGATAAATTAAATTTCTTACAATTTACCTTACAATATCCATAAAATTAAATCATGACAATGACTGACAAACACTAATGTGAACAATGACCTTGCATCTCCTTGGAAAGTTTGGGTAAGTCAGGTTTGTATGTTGTTGTTTTTAATTTTAGGCACGATTCCAGGTTCTCATCAATAAGACGACTTCTCAATTTACCACATGGTAAATTGAGAAATCCGCATGTGGTATTTTGTCAGTGGTGGGTTTCAATTTTTGAAACTGCGCGGCCAGCGATGACTCCGGAACGCACCCGGGAAGATGAGGAATGCGAGGAGGACCCCGCCTCCTGGGGATGGGCTCCTGAGTCATCACCGGCCGCGCAGAGCCTCGTTGAGGCTCCACGCTGCGGAAAACATAGGCGCATGCACAGCCTGTACAATTATAGCCTCGGGGACATCGTAATGGCGGGAACCTGTTCTCACTCACCCAGGCTTCTACAGAAGCTGCCCTCCGAGAGGAGTGCCATACTCAAGGGGCCAAAGAGCTGCATGTGGTTCACGAGCCGTTGTTTTGACAACCACTGCTCTAGGACAACCCCACAAGAAGTCATGTGGGCATCTTGCTTGACCATTTTGCTCAATGACCGAGGTTCTGGTCCCAATTGTGGTTGCAGATTGAGGACTACATGTGTAATTTTGGTCATATTTATAGTGTAACTCTTTTGCCATGCATGTTGACAGATGAAATGTTTGTGTCATCGCCTCTTCGAAACCAAAAAAGTATGGGTGGATTGTTTGGAGAACAAATTGGATATATTTATATATACAGTGGGAACCAGACCACTTCAGGTCATGTGACAGACCACTGCAAATCATGGATTTCCCCTTGTCCTGAAGAGCGAGTAAGTTGTTTGCTGATTGCACTTAAAACAGTTTAAAGAAAACTAATTTTAAATTCTATTTTTATTTAAATGTCAAAATATTACAATTAAAATTCCTTTTAAAAGTTAAATTTAATATTACATAAAACTAAGCAGCAATGCAATAGTGTAACCATATTACTGCTTTATAATAAAACTGAATCATTTCAAAAACATACCTAATTACATATGTTGTGAAGCTGAAGAAAAAAAAAAGCGATATTAAGTTACCTAAAAAGAACACAAAACAATACCTAACAAAAATAAGATTTCAAAAAAGGTGGAAAAAATACCTCACTAAATCAAAACATCTAAATCAGTGTTTCTCAACCTTGGCAACTTGAAGATGTCTGGACTTCAAGTCCAGACATCTTCAAGTTGCCAAGGTTGAGAAACACTGATCTAAATAGTTAACTTTTTTCCACACAAGGACACAAATTAATTAAAACATATGCATGTGTAGCAAAAATTGTATGATTGTGTATTGCTCCTGCTCAGTAGGTAGTACCATTATACAGAATAATTTTCTATATTTTATATTTCTACACTGAAATGAATTTCTGTAGTAGAAATCAGCATATTGATAAACTCAGAAACCCTTTAGAAATACTTGTAATTGATTATTGTACCATTAAAACACAGCCATTCGTTCTTTTCTCTTTTTTCCTTTCCCAGGCACAGTATGTGATAATTTCTCCAGAGGTATGGTAATACAATGTTTTGTCGTGATTATTGCTTTAATTTAACATGAACACTAAGGAATCTTTAACTATTAAACTGTCAATTGATTAAAATATTAAAACATCCAATTTCTTTAGCTTCAAGTTATAATAAATGTCTTGCTGTTTCTAATCTAACATCATACTAATAATCCATTAGAACCAGGAAAATAATCCTCCCTTTTTCACTCAACCAGACTCAAGCATGAAATTATCACAAGTAGAGAAAGGTTTTCAAACAGTATGGATATGTAACATTGAGGCCATATTTAACACTTACTAATTAATGTATTTAATCAGCCATAATTAGCATAATATATAGTAATTAAATTTGGATACTTTTGTCAGCTACAGTTTTTAGTAAGTTTAGAGCTTGTTCCTGTTATTGAATTGATTTCAATCATTTGGCTAAGCAAAAATGTTTAGAATGACATTTCAAATTACTTATGGCTTCCCATTTTCATCTTATTTTGATTGAGGACAATGGCTTTTGGAGAATTGAAGCCAGGCACAGCCAACAGCCCAATAAGTCATGAATTTTAATCTACCTAGCAGATTGTAAAGAGAAAGATCCTTGCCAGAGGAGAGATTTACTTTCTGGTGGTTTTAAAAATTAGTTTAACATTTTCATTGTTATGTGATGCCAACCTCAGTGCTATAACATGTATCTTCATCCATTTGGTCACCTGAAGCTATTTGCACAATAGATATTGTATTCCAGCACTGCTGTTGTAGCAATTTGGCCGGAGCAGCAATGAACAGCTTAATTACAGAATATGTCATTGATGGCTATATATTCTCATTGCAGCAAAAATCAAGATTTGGGAGTGCTCTTCTTACAATAAAAAGTGGAGAAAAGGTAATTAAAACAAGTAGTACTGGTTTTTCCTCACAATGGAAAACAAGCCCAGATTGTAAATCATTTGCTGTTTATTGCTACTATTATAAAAACATACTGAAATTGACTTTTAACTCACAGAAAAACAAAATCATTTCGGGAAAACTCCATGCTTGCTACACCCCCCCCCCCCCACGATCATTTAGCATTTAATGGTAACTTTCCATTAAACTTTTGTTTTGTTTTTAATTCAATGGTGTCTGACTCTTGGATGACTGCCTGGACAAATCCCTGCAGTTTTCTTGGCAAGGTTTTTCAGAAATGGTTTGCCATTGGCCATTTCCTAACTCTTGGACAGATTGACTGGCCCCAAATCACTCAGCTGGCTTTATGCCTGAGGCAGGACTAGAACTCTAGTCCAATGCCTTAATCACTAGACCAGTGTTTCTCAACCTTGGCAACTTGAAGATGTCCGGACTTCAACTCCCAGAATTCCCCAGCCAGCGATGCTGGCTGGGGAATTCTGGGAGTTGA